AAAATCAATGAAATTAAAAATTTCAAAGAAATACCAAAAAAATTTATTATTTTGTTGCAGTTTAACTCAATCTTACAGAAAGTGCATTTACTGCGTTTTCGTCGTGTGTGCTCATCTCCTAGAAAAAAAAAAAAAAAAAAAAAAAAAACACACACCAATGCACACTCTCAAAATAAAACAAAACGTTTAAGGGATTAATAAACCAATGCGAACAATCACTGACAATCAAGCAAGGAAAGACGTGTGCCAGCTTCTTCGATTCACCACAGAACCACAGTTCCCATAAAAATCGCATTGAAGCCGGTTCGCACGTAGATTTGATCCGTTCACTCGTTAGGGAGATAACTGTGAAAGACGAGATCGTGGTCTACTCGTCCATCGTGAATGCAGATCTCGATCGCGTGACAGCTTTTGTTTCTATTTATGGGGATTTGCTTGAACGACTGTGACAGCAAATCCGCGGCGTGGGCCGTGTTTAGGCTGGTTTTCCTACCCACGTCGCGTTCCATCCGCGATACCTTTTTAAGGTCAGTGGAACGAGTCTCGCGCAGGTGTCCAAATCGTTCTCTGGCTCGATTTGGACGGGTTCATGCGCCGGATAGCGTATGGTTGAGTCAGCATTACACGATTACAACGCCATGCGAGGGAGTTCCACTGCACAGTCTTGCGAAATGAAAAAAAAACTATCAGCGATTTTTTCGAATGTTCTTTGAAATGATACAGTTTCTCAAATCAATCGAACACTTACGGGAATTTCGTACGAACGGAATATAATATGGTATTATTATACAAGGCGCGCGTGTATCCCATCGAAATAAGTACACACACCAAATTTTCAAAAACAGCTTTGAGAAATTGATTTACAAAAGAAAGAAATAAGTAAATATATTTTCCTCCTTTTTTTTTTCTCTCCCTCTTCTCCGAGCTTTCTTTTCACCTACTTTGTCTACGTCACGAAAGAACAGATTCCCGGGCGTCAATTAAGCGTCATCGTGAGAAACGCGAGACGAAGGGATGAAACACGAGAGCACGAGGGCAGAGGCTTTTAGAAACGGGATTTCCCGGCGTTGATTCCCCCGTTTGCCTCGTAATTTCCCGTTTGTTCCCCTCGTGAGCGAAGATTGCATTTAATTGCGCGGAAACCGATCTCGATGCTCGAGGTTTGCGAGCCGTGTCTCGATGATAGATCGACGATTAAGAACGCGTTACCTGCGACATAATAGTTAACTCGCGATTGTTTCACAATGATTTCAATACGTGATAACGGAGTTTCGAAGTGGATTTCGAAAGTGGATGTTGATCGAATCGATACGTCGGGAGAAGTGAAGGGAAATTTCGTGAACACGAGGCCACTGGAAATGATGTGACAAAATGAGAATAATAATTCATTTCTCTGTGAGATGATTTAATGTTATAGATACTAATTATATTTTAATTATTAATAATAATTAAGTACTAATAATATACATAGCTCTAAGATCAAAGAAATTCTAGGGATAATTTATTAATAATTTTATTAATAATTTTCTGAAAAATTGTAGGATCTAAACGGAGAAAAAAAAAGTAACGAAAAGAATATCATAGAAGATTGTATCAAAGAATGGGGATATTACACACGTGTAAATTTTCTTTAAAAACAGTATTCAATAGATTATAAATTGTAAACGTAAATTGACTACGAAAGGATTAAAAATGAGACATCAGTTGCGGCATGAAACGTTCGTTTTTCAACTTAAAGTTGAAGATTTATACTATATTTAGATTTATACGCAGGCAGATATGCATAATTCTCGCTGTAAGATAATCTATAAATCACTGGATCGACCAAAATATGAATATTTGCATGTTCTTGTCGACAGTAAATAACGTAGGTGAATTGCAACAATGAATGAAAAATCTATACCTGTATACATATGTATGTCAAATAAAATAAAATAAGGTGAGAATATCTGAAACATTCATATTTATTCATATTTACGTGCACTGTTGTACGATATATAATTTATCGTGTTACATTTAGCACGTAGGGCGTGATAAATGATGTAGAAAGATCCTCCCGATTTTTGAAACAGATATTGTTGTAGCAGCACAATGGGAACGGCACGCAATATCGTTCGTATTAAAAAGATGAATGAAAAATGTCTCTGGAAAGTGAAGGAACATAATAAGAATAATGAAGATAAATCATTGATAAATACTGACGAATAATTTCATCATATTTTCTTAATACTAACTGTTACACGCGGATAATTGATAACAATAATATAGAACGAATTGCACGTAGATTTTCGTCCAATTTTTGACATACCGATCGCATGTTCTTACCTTTCAATGAAATATTTCTTCTATCAGGTTCTTCAAATTTCATTACTAAATGATATATAATTTAATATATTCGACTTAATGAAATAAAATGTAAATGCTATAATTGGACTGCGGATATTTATGCAAAAAATAAAATATGTAAAAAGCATATGAATTTTACGCTCGTGAAATATGTAAATGTGCGGGAAAAATATGCACATAGATGCATATACACGAAAAGTATGCAGAAGTTCAATATAAGTTGATCGCGTATAATCCTCTGAATTGACAAAAAGGGTATTGAGTATTGTTTTAATTAACGATTTATTGGTTCTAATAAATTTTAATTAATTACGAGCAATTCTTCTGTACTTTCAGTTTTTTGATATTTGTCAATATTAACGTGCATGCTGAAAAGGAACATTAATTCCTAGATTACAGGACTGATCACAGCACCAGATCACGACATACATTAATGTATTTGTTCGAATATCGCTGTGGTACCTTGGCTATACCTATCCGAATTTATGACTGTGTACGTAACTATTTATGATAGTAATCAAATACTGATTATTACGGTTGAGATAGATATGAAAGAGATATTTATCACACGTGTCTGCACATCTTTTAACTAAAATATAAATAAAACTAACTAAGTAGTAATTATCGAAAACATTCTCAATATCTAACTATAATAAATATTATTCATTTATTTATTTGAGCACAAAATTTAGAGAGTCAGTGGTAAATCGATTGCGGTTAACAACGATAAATTAACTTGCGCGTTATTGACTAAAAAATCAACAGTTAAGAGCTCGCTGTGCGGGCGCGATATATACAGGGTGTTCCAGATCTCAATCGTTAAAATTTGTCAATGTGCTTGGGAGGTCATTTAGAGCACAAAATGTTACACACATCACAGTCTTCGTTTTTGAGATGTGAAAGGGAAACTAGTGCAAGCTATATCCAAGCTACTTAACTTTTGACGATGACCATTTATTTCGAGCTATTTTTTTTTACACTGATTTGTACTAGTTCAAATTGATTCACAAATCGTTCAAAATGATCACTGCAAGCAAGCTTCGCTTGTAATATTAGCAAAATTGTTATTGATTATGGCAATACCAGTCTTTCCGGAGTTTTGCTATTAAACCTAACCTAAAATATATTTCACGCAACTCCATACAGAAAAATTGCATACAATGAATACAGAAACGCTCCAACTCGATAACTATCTTTAATAGTTTTGTTCACCTTGAAAAGACGAATTAACCTACGGTGTACATAATATTTTTCACTCAAAATTACCTCCTCGACACGTTGATCAAAGTTTAGATTTGGAACGTCCTGTATATAGCCCATCATTGCAATCAGACGTGGCTCTCTGCACTTCAGCTTTAGTTGAGAATAAAAATCGTCATTTATGATCAGCAAATAAAATTAGAACGTAATCGTTAATTCCGATTAAAGATCATTGGAAAAATTTAATTTAACTCTTTGCTCAAGTGGCATCTGAACTAATTTCCTTGGTAGGGAAATTGGTAGATTGAGCGAGCAGCACGTGCGAGGAAACGAAATTTGCCTCACATTTCTTGCGAAATCCGCGGCATCAGCGTCGACAAGTAACAATTGTGGTGGACAATTTGAAAAAAAAAAAAAAATTCTGGAAAGATGAATCGCTCGGCGAGAAAAAATCCAAACGAGACACACGGAGTACGCGCGCGTCGAGAGCTGCGATAACGCCGCGGATTTTAATGGTTTTACGATTGTCCTCCCTGTGAAGGGCATTAATAATGCCGGGAAACGGGCGGCCAATGGAAAATCCGATATCGACGACCGGTTTGCCCGCGAAATAATGCGTTTGACTTTCTACTCGACTCGGTGATACGTAGGACGCGCGGAACGTGCAAGCTGTTAATCTTTCAATTTCCCGTGCGCGCCGCGGTTCGATAAATTTCCAGCCGAAGTATCGCAACGCTGCAACGCGGCGTTTCATTGTCGTTCGAAAAAAAAAAAAAAAAAAAAAATAGGCTCCACGAGGGAAATTAATAGAATGATCGAGAGAGGAACCGAGAGGTTATTTCGTGTCATAGAATTCGTGGACAATTTACCGGCGGGAGATTCGACAGAAAATAGCGACAGGATGAAGCGTGAAATGTGCACGCTGTAAAAATGGTTGGACAAATTGTTTCTTGAAGCTCGAGGTTTCTTGATCGTGAGTATCTTCTGCAGTATATCAGCAACGAGTTTCACTCTAATAAAAATGATCCATGGTGATGAATGTGTTTTCCAAGACTGTTTCCTACTGTGCAATTACTCGTTTTTATATTTACAATTATTTTATATTTGTATTTACGTTGTAATTAGTTATTTAAAATGTTTGTAATTATTATTTATCACATCAGTATTATTATCAAGCAAAGTATACTATTTTTAAAAATTTTATTTTTGTCATATGTTTTCGCACTGTTCATATGCGTTTGGTATATTTCTCACAAACGTGTGAAAATCTTTAGTTGTAACTAGTTAAAACTCTATAACCAGACTTTAATATTATTATTTTCAATTATTTGAATGATTCCTTTTCCCCAAGAGACAAAAACCGAACGGCAGAAAAAATTCGAGAACTGCACCGTGAAAAACCGCCGTGTCAAAATTCCTCCTCGAAGGTATCTTTCATTCCCTCCAAGACAGTGTTGCAAGGTTACGCGAACGAAACCGGGGAACAACCGTGACGGAGACAAGTAACATCATCCGATTGGTTAGAATTTGGCTTTTTTTTTGTTTTTGTTTTTTTTTTCTTTTTGTTTCGGTGAAATCGTTCGAACGGAAGGGAATTCGAAACGGGTCGGGGGAGGATGGGGGCAAAAACGTTAATCGATGGAATTCCACGATTTTCGTCTCGGACACACCGTGCACAGGCCGCGTCGCAATTTCACTTCTCGCCTCTCTCTCTTTCTTTCCGCGGGGAAGAAGTTTCAAGGGGAAGAGTTTCGCACAAAAGGAACGGGACAGGTGTGGGGGGAGGGGAGGGGGGAGGGTCGTGCACAGGGAGAAATTCCAGCGACGTCTCGCGCGTATCCGGAAGAGTTATGGCTCGGGGGACACGAAGAAACACGGCATGCATTTGCGAGTAACCGTATAATAGAGCCCCACGTTGTAGCGATGCCAAATAATTTCGCCGGGGTCAGCGGCGAAATTTTCGAAATATAGGAACTGCGCGCCGCCTCCCGGAAGTCAACCCTCCCCTCCCCTCGCCCTTCTCTGGCTACTAACCTTCTGGTTAATATAACGGAGATAGGAAAAGAAACGAGGCTGCTAGCTCGGTGTTTCACCGAGAATGAGAAAACCGTTTCAATGAGAAAATTCGTCGGTGGAATTTTTGGGACGAAGAGAGGAGAGAAGGGTTCGCGAAGAATTCTTAAGGGGTTGATTAAGGAATTTTCGTGGAAGCTGTTGTTTCAGTGTGGCAATGCTAGTGTTGGCTCGCGATTGTTTGTTCGTCTTTTTGGAATTGGTGATAAAATTAGATTGGTCGAAATGAATCGCTGTTACCATTTTGTTTCGATTGATGATTAGTTTTAGTCTCGTGACGTTTGTTTTTCTTTTCCCGATTGACGTTTAGGTGATTAAACTTGGTTAAAAGTTTGAATCGCAATTATTAAAATTATTCATTCAGATCGATTTTGATTGAAATCCGATGGAAATGGTTTCGTCGAGTAAATTTAGCATGGATTTCCGACGTTTGTTATTTTCTTTTCTCTACAATTGAGAAATTTCGAGTCGAAATATTGTCGAGTTATTATCTCGCTGTTTCTTCGAACGTAGTAAATTCAATTTTTCTGGTAATGTCACAAATTCTGAATATTTACGAAGTGCAGAAACATACAAAGATAAAAGAAACTTCTATTCACTTGTATCCAGATAAAGATTTCAAACATAATCAAGGTATCTTGACACATTCTGAAAA